GCCGATGGGCTCGCTGATGTTTCGTCACTCCTCGTCAGCGACACACACACACACACTGGGGTATCAATGTGTGTGTGTGCGTGCGTGCGTGTGTGTGTGTCTGTGCGTGAGGATGGAGAGGGAGACGCCTCGCTCGCACAGGTGGACCCCCACCGGCCCACAGAGCCGGTAACCTGGACCTCAGGCCGGCGAGACCTCAGCCGAACCCCCCCTTCCTCCTCCTCCTCCTCCTCCTCGCCTCGCCACAGACCCGGCCGCCTGCAGCCCCCAGCCCCGTCCAAGAGCGAGACAAGCACGGCCCTGGCCGAGAGAGAGAGCGAGGAGCCCAGGCCGGCGTGGACACACACACAGACACGCAAACACACACACAGAGGCAGACAGACACACACACACGCAAACACACACACAGAGGCAGACAGACACACACACACACAGGCCCGCAGACGCTCTGCGCGGCCCAGCGCCGCACAAACATGGCGCAGGCGAATACAGACAGACCGAGAGAGACCGGAGGCCTCTTCTCTCTCTCCCTCTCACACACACGCACACAACCAAGTCTCACCCCTCCCACGGACACTCACGAGGGCTTGGCACACCGTCCTCGGCAACCGGGCTGGAGTCGGGGATCCGCGTCTCTTCTGGCGGTGTTTTTTTTTTGTTTGTTTGTAATCGTCGTCTTCTTCAACCCCCAGTTCCCTCGGCCGACGGAGGCTGCCTCTGCTGCTAGGGGGGGGGATGAGAGAGAGAGAGACCCGCGGCGTCAGAAGGAGAGCGCCGGCGCCTGACGTCATGTGCCCGCGCCGCCTACCGCAGGGGCGGTCGGGGAGGGGAGGGGGATTGTGGGAATTGTAGTCCCCCCCGCTCAGTGAAACGCGGAAGAGCAGAGACCCGTTTTGTTCCTTCAGGAGAGGGTTCGACGAGACGGCCCGGGAAAGCGCAGCCAGCCAGCCTGTTGCTGGTTTTTCCTCTCATAACGTGGCGTTTTGTCGTCTACCCGCACACAGCAAACGGCAAAGCCTGCGACGTGTAAGTCTGAATGAATGAAAAGTTTCGACGCTGGTCTCCGTGCGTTTCTCCCTGTTCCAATCCTCCCCCCCCCTCCGTCTGTTATGAATTTATTGACCTTTTTGACCCCCCATCCGAAACCCGAATGATCACCTCAGCTCTGCAAAATCTCAAATCATATTTTATATGACGAATAAAACATAAAAGAAACTTAATCATTAAGAGTGCAACCCGACTCCAGTCGAGATCCGAGCCCTGCGAGCTGCAGTACAGCGCCAACGTCGGACCAGAAGTCTAACTGCAGTCCAACCCCAGTTTAAACTGGGTTTAAACATTCTTATAGATGGAGTATGGTTGGGTTGAACTGGGGTTAGATTGGGGTTATACTGGGGTAGGATTGGGTTGAACTG